ACGTTGCATTCCTGAGAATGAAGTCAATAGTGTACTCAACTTTTGTCATAGCTTAGCTACAGGAGGTCACTTCGGACCTCAAAGGACAGCAGCAAAAGTCTTACAATCGGGTTTATATTGGCCTTCTTTATTTCATGATGCCCGTAACTTTGTTGCTGCATGTGATAGATGTCAAAGAACAGGTAATATCTCATATATGATGGAGATGCCACAAACACCAATCTTGGAGGTGGAGATGTTTGATGTATGGGTTATAGACTTCATGGGTCCTTTCCCATCATCCTACAACAACAAATACATTCTCGTCGCTGTCGATTATGTATCAAAGTGGGTGGAGGCAGCCGCATTACCAACCAATGAATCAAAGACGGTGGTGAACTTCATGAGAAAGAACTTGTTCACCCGTTTTGGAGTGCCACGAGTTGTCATAAGTGATGAAGGAACTCATTTCACAAGTCGTGAGCTGAATACACTCTTGGCCAAATATGGAGTCAAACATCGCATTGCCACACCATACCATCCACAAACCAGCGGGCAAATTGAAGTATCCAACCGCGAGTTGAAGCACATCTTAGAGACCACCATTAACTCCTCTCGGAAGGATTGGTCGAGGAAGTTGGATGATGCATTGTGGGCCTATAGGACTGTCTATAAAACCCCATTAGGCATGTCTCCATATCGGCTAGTGTTTGGCAAAGCATGTCACTTACCGGTGGAGCTCGAACACAAGGCGTATTGGGCCATCAAGAAGTTGAATTATGATATGAAACAAGCCGGAGAAAAGAGACTCGTTCAATTGAATGAGCTAGATGAGATCTGCCTCAACGCCTATGAGAATGCCCGAATCTATAAGGAGAAGACGAAGAGGTGGCATGATCAACATAATGTAAGGCGAGAATTCAATATGGGCGACAATGTATTACTCTTCAACTCTCGTCTCTTCTCTTCCCGGGCAAGTTGAAATCGAGGTGGTCCGGACCGTTCACAGTGACCAAAGTCTTCCCTCATGGCGCAATCGAGATTCTTGGTGACAATGGAGTGTTCAAGGTGAATGGCCAGAGACTCAAACAATACACAGAAGGAGCATATCTGCTAGAGATCTCCTCTTATCGCCTAAACTAAGCCATTCCAACGTCGAGCTAATGACGTTAAACAAGCGCTTCTTGGGAGGCAACCCGAGGTTTGTTTTTCTTTCAATTTTTTTTATAATTTCACTTTTTAGGACGTTTGAAGCATCTCCATAAAGCTTGTGCTCAAAATTCGTTGAGGAAGGTATTTTTTCCAATTTTATAGGTGCATTGGCAGAATGCTTTGATGGACATGTGCAGTGGAGAAATGCTTTTTGCAATGGAGAAATGCAGTGTGGGGTGGAAGGCGATATTGATGGACTTGAAAAGCTAAAACGCAATAAAAAAACGGAGGGACAATGAAGAACTTTTCTTTTGTTTTTCTAAAAAAAACAAAAAAAATTACAACAAAAAAAAGATGAATTTTTTTTTGAAAAAGAGTAAAAGAGAAAGAGAAAAGGGCAAATAAATAAGGATCGATGTATCATCTTTGGGAATCAATGTTCTTCCCTTATTATATAGTCTTAGTTTTGCTTATGTTATGCATTTTTTGTATTTGTTCAAGGCCTCGATATTAGATAGTTCTTGCTTTGGGTCCACCTTTGCAACTTATTCCTCGTGAGCATCACCATTTCCCTCCTATGAATAACCCTTAGCCTTACACATATTACCTAACCGTTGTCATCTTGATATGCTTGTGTTTGTACTGATCGGTCCAACTGTGGGTGAAGAACAAGGTTCAGGTAAGCACTAGTAAGGAAAAAACTTGAGTGTAAACACCAACCCTTAAACACTTGTGTAATTGAGCGAAATACACATTCCTAGTGAGGAAATCTAGATGCCATGCTTTACTCTTAACTTACCTTACTCTTTGTTTGAATGAGTTTTTGGCACAATCCACTATTAGTGTGTTTATTCTAGGTGTAGGGTATATCATGTGATGCAGTGTAATCTAACTTGCAAGCCTAGGTGTGCATGGAAAGGTTGAATTTGACGATAGTGTATATACATAGATATCTACACCAAAGCATAGTAGGTCCACAGCTAGTCACACCGTCACTCAAGCAACAATGGTGTTAGTCGAGTCTTAGGAGTAGTGTGTTCTTTATTTGAGTCCTAGGAGTCTTAGTTGTATGTTTATTTGCTTCTCTTTCAATTATTTCTCTCTTTTGCTTTGGGACAAGCAAATTCTAAGTGTGGGGTTGTGATAAGCTTCATAAACATATATGTATTTTGTGCATAAATGATTGATCTTTATGTATGTATGTGTTTAAATTGCTCTAAATTAGTTCATATTGACCATGGAATGGCCCTAGTGTCATTACCAAGACATGTAGCGATTTAACACAGATTGAAGCTAAGATTGTGAACAAAACAAAGAACGAATGCAGGTGCAGTGTCAAAATGCAGATGTGCAGAGGCAAACGTCCAGCAGGAGGCCAAATCGATGAAGACCCAAATTGAATTATTGTGGTTGGAATCTTCACTCAACTGTCAGCAACCCTTATAAATTATTGGGATTGGGTCAGATTTCTTGAAGTGAGCAAATGGATTTGGTGGCTCACCAATAGAGAAAATGATGCAAGAATTTATTGCAAAGAAAGAGACTTAAGCTAGCAGCAGCCTTCTCTTGGAAATGTGACCTGCAAGTGCCTTGTTTTGTGGGATTAAATCTGCAGAAAATGGATTTAAAAGGGGCATCAACTAGGAGACTTGGGAGACACTTTTTGGAGACTAGTTTTAGACAGAAAAATCAAAGGAGAGAGCTCACTTTGACACACTTTGGAGTTGAGCATTTTGAAGAAAGGAAGACTCTTGTAAGTTGGGGATTAACTCCAACACTTAGTACTTTCTCTACTCCTTTGTTTTTGGTAGTTAGTCATCATGTTGAACATTATCATGTTTATGTACTTTCTTTTCATCATGAACTAATCCCTCAATTTCTGGGGGAAACTTATGGATTTCATTATCTAGCCTCGATGTTTTAATCATGACTTGTTTTTCTTCCATTTTCTATCGTGTGGAATTGTTTAACGCTTTGTGTTGATTGGCCACCTTCACAATGATTTGTAGTTTTCTAGGTTAATAACGATGGTGAAAACCTAGTAACCGAACACATTTCACAGGACATAATTGCCTATTGAAGCGATAGTGGATTAAATAGGGAATTATGCAGTCATTTCAGGGATATCGTTCTTAAGGCTAATTAATTAATTCAGTAACGATAATTTTACTTACACTTTATTACTTGTACGACACTGTGCACTTGCAGTTTTGTCGCCACCAATGCTCGCGGTGGAGCCATTCTGTGCGAGGTCAATGGCCTTGTCTCTTTGTATCTTTCACTCCTAGTCCTCGAGCAACGAATCAGGCTACCCATTCTAGGGCACTCCTAGATTATGTCAAGGTATTTACGCTTTTATGCATAGTCCGAGTCTCTAAGTTGGTGGAGGTACTAGTTTTGTGGTACCACACCTTGACTATTTTATCCGCAAGGATAATAATGTCAAAAAGATCAAGTTACATTAACTTTAAGGTATTGTAGTAATTTTCTGTAATTTTATTAACCCAACCTAATAGAAACTTTATCACCCGTCCCGGTAAAAAAGAAGAAGGGGTCGTTTGGAAGTTGAGATTGTTAAATAAATGTATTGTTGAGAATGCATGTATAATATTATACATGTATTGTCGAATTTGATGCATTGTAGAATACAACGTTTGGTATGTGTGATTGTGTATGTCGCATCAGCTAAAAGCTGAGACAAAACAATCTCAACTCAACTATCTCAACAATCACAACTAAAATTTGAGATATAACAATCACTCAAAATGAGTGATAGTTTCTGTCACATCATAGAAACAATCCATGTATTGTTTCTGCTAAAAAAACAAAAAAACGATGCATTGTAAACAATACATGCATAATGACAGGATTTGTAAATAGAAGGTTTAACAAAAAGAGTAATGGAAAGAAAAAAAAGAGATTGTTCTCATTCAAAGATCTTTTATCATTTGATTTGAAATAACGAAAAGATGACTAAGTATAGTTTCTGTCACATCATAGAAACAATCCATGTATTGTTTCTGCTAAAAAAACAAAAAAAACGATGCATTGTAAACAATACATGCATAATGACAATCTCAACAAAACAATCGCAACTTCCAAACGACCCTGAAGTTGCCCATTAAGTCTTTCCTATTGTTATAAGAACCAAACCAGATCAATGGGTGAGCCAGTAGAAGTATCAAACCAGTTAGAATAGCGGTTCGGTCCATTGCTTGAACGGTTATTGATGGAACAAACGATTTTTCACGGTTCGACATAAAACCATATGAACCACTACAATTTACCTGGTCCACTGGTTTACTATTTAACAAATAAACAAAATAATTTAACATAAACTAACACCATAAACCAAAATTATTAATTTTATCTATTTTTTTCTCATTTTTCAACATCGTTGTCGACTTTACTAGTCCACTACCGATTGACACCTTTTTTTAACTTGAATTAAGAAAATATATTATTTCTATTTTAAGACAGTTTGAATAATTTGTTAGATATTTTGGTGATTATATAAATTTAAAATTATTTATGGTTAATAATAATTTAATTCTTAAGTTAGTTTATTATACAAGTCTTGTATGTTATATATGAGAGACGATTTTATCGATGGTTCACTAACGATTAATCAGTTAACCCTAAACTACTAATTTTTTTCGCTTCAAAGGTCTTTCCTCTCGTATCTCTCTAACAAAACCCACTTGTAGGAAGAGTAGACTGTACAGGTGACAAAATGAGTACGTGTCCTCATACGCATCCTTCCACGTGGCCAGTATCTCCAGTCCGCACCGAGGATCTGGCAGGTTCAAGCAACCGCCCTTCCCCACCCCGCAACCCTCCAGTTTTACCAGATGACCCAGGGCCCAGACTTAAAACCTCTCTCCCAAAATCTCTCCTTGTGTTCGTTTTTCCATTTTCCGTTGTTCAAACTTGCAAGAAACCCAATCTCAAGAGTCCAGGACCCATCAATTCTTCCGAATTGCCAAGAATCGAAGCAAAGCGAAACAGAAAACAGGAACTCCCAACCCAAAGCAATAATCGACCAAAGTTTGAAGCTTCCTACCCACTACAGCTCTTCCTTTGTGTTTGTCAAGCTTCCAAGTTTCAGTCTTTTACTGTTGCTATAATTGGAGAAGATTCAATCTTTCTGGAGAGAGAGAGAGAGAGAGAGAGAGAGAGAGAGAGAAGGAAGTCCTCAGAAATTGGAGGAGCAAGAGAGAGATCGGAGATGGGGAGTTTGACTCTGACTCCATGGCACCCTTCACAGCTCAAACCCTCTGGGTTTGAGCAGAAGGATGCGTCTCTTTTCCCCTCTAGAAGGAAACTCAAAACCAGCAGGAACAATAAGAGATTCTCCGTTTCCAGTCCTGTAAGTTGCCTTGTGTCTCCTCCTAATTTCTGATTTGGGGCTTTACTCCTTGTCCCTAATTGAAACCCTTTTGAATTCTGATTATGGGGGTTTGCACGTACCAGGTGGCTAGGCTATTTGGGCCATCGATCTTTGAAGCGTCCAAGCTGAAGGTGTTGTTTTTAGGGGTTGATGAGAAGAAGCATCCTGGCAAGCTGCCAAGGACTTACACACTAACCCACAGTGATATAACCTCCAAACTCACTTTGGCCATCTCTCAGTCCATAAACAACTCCCAGCTTCAGGGATGGGCCAACAAGCTGTACAGAGATGAAGTGGTGGCCGAGTGGAAGAAGGTGAAAGGCAAGATGTCACTCCATGTTCACTGCCACATCAGTGGTGGCCATTTCTTACTTGATCTCTGTGCTAGGCTCAGATACTTCATCTTCTGCAAAGAACTTCCCGTGGTAAGACTCATCAAATCAATATAACCCACATGGCAAATTTGGAAAAAGATTCGATCTTTCTGCTTTATGAGATCTGAATCAGTGAAGTCATTGTTTTTGGCAGGTGCTCAAGGCCTTTGTTCATGGGGATGGGAATCTGTTGAACCACTACCCGGAATTGCAAGAGGCATCGGTGTGGGTTTACTTTCACTCCACAATTCCAGAATTCAACAAGGTTGAGTGCTGGGGCCCACTCATGGATGCTGCAGCACCTCCTTCAAAGAGAAGGACCGGTGGTGGGACTCAGGCGGGTCCAGAGGTGGAAGGAGAAGAGAAGGGAAGGTCATCAAGCAATTGGGGGTTGCCAGAGCCATGCCAAGAAGATTGCAGCTGTTGTTTTCCACCCATGAGCATGATCCCGTGGTCTCAAAACTTTCCCTTTGCTTCTCAAACTCAACAACCAGGCGATTCCAAGACAGCGGTCCAGGAGGAGGGCTTGCAGCAGCAACCTTAGAGTATTCGGAGTCTTTTGTTTTCGAACTGCTACACATTTGATTCGTCTCTCTGTCACACTTGTAAATAGTGAAATTTAGAGGGACTCGGAATCAGTTGACCCTCCATTCGTAATGTTGAAGCGGGAAAGGGTGGGACGTTGATCAATCTTTTCAACCAATAGCTGGTCTTTTTTTTGTGTGGGTGTTATGACTCCATTTTGGAGTGTAAGATGACAGATCTACTAGGTATCCCAGTTGATAGGATACTATAATGTACACTCTCACGCTTTGTATAGTAGATTGGCTACTTGTCTGTATATATTCCCAAAAGCTATGGAAGTATGTTGCCCCGAAGAGACTGATGCAGATTCAAAAAGCTACCGCAGTGGGATTGGTGATTTTATATATATACAGAAACGGCCAAGAATACGATAATTGGTGGAGAAATTCTTGGCGTGATATACATGGTGGGTCTATCAACAATGATAGTTTACAAAAAATGACAGCATGATCAAACTATACATATATACAAAACAGGAGAGTAGCTAGTGACAAAACGGAAGTCACTGCAGCAGAATAATTAGCCTCTTCTCCACAAACATTTCCCATGAGTTCATTTCAAAAGTAGGAAACGTGCATTCACCGAATAGTTGTTCTTCCGAAGGATGACGCTCCTATCTCGCTATCAGTGTTCTGCAAAGCCAGAAACGTTGCACGTGTTAGGTGGTCTCCTTGCTAACGGGGCAGTCCGTGGTAGATGAATGACGTTTATCAACTTGATAGAGGCTTTACCTGGGATTTAGGGGAAGGGAACACGTTCCAGAACCTCAGTGTTTCGTCTCCAGCGCCAGTAACGATAGTCTGCAACAGAGACCATTATATCCGTCAACTGAGACTTAACTCAGTAACACATGAACATGATAACTGGTGCTACTGCATGATTGAAATCATTAGGTGTGGTTGGAGGGTTACCTGTCCATCAGGTGAGATAGCAAGATAGAGAACTCTGTATGTATGACCCGTGAGAGTTGCCAACTGTATCAGTCGACAAACAGTGTTAAGTATGAACTGGATGAACATTCATCAATGGCTGGGAGGGGAACTAGGTGTTACTTCTGTACCTTTGACATCGTTGGATATCTCCATACTATTATTTGGTTTTGGGAGTATCCATGAGTGCTCACAAGTTCATTTACGTTCTTAGACCATACAAGATTGCAGACCTGCCAAACGCAGAACACAACAGGTATACCAAGTATAAGAACTTGCTTAGTATCAAACTATTTCTGAACTCTTATGCAAGTGCAGGGATGCAAGTAAAGCATAAATTTTACCTGACTACCAGTGTCCATGCAGCTCAGGTGCGAATTAGTGGTCGTGTTCCAGAACCGTATGCACCGATCAGCAGTGCCACCACCAGAAGCAAGGAGACCATGAAGATGAGGAGACCAAGCTATTGCTTTTACAGCTGCTGTATGCTCGCAGTATTTTAGTACTGGCTGCGTCGAATGTTGGTTCCAAACAAAAAGCTGCCAAGAAGGATCTCAACAAAGTTAGGCCTCTGCCCAGGAAAAACGATAGATATGATAAGGTAACTAAATACATAATAGACACTTATGACACAAATCATCTTACCCTATTATCATTTCCACCTGATGCCAACTGACGGTTGTCATATGACCACTTTAGTCCACAGACCTGGAAAAATTCACACTTCAGTATTAGGAGGGCACACCCAATGAGCATAATGATGAATATATATAGGATAACTTCATACGGCTGCAACAGCAGTAAGAGACAGACCTCTGATTTATGACCAGAGAGTTTACTAACAAAGTCTTCAGGAGAGCGTATATCACGTTGCAGTATGCTCTTATCACGGCTACCAGAGGACAGCACAGATGAACTCCAAGCCAGGGCGCCAACACGCAATCGATGGCCCTCCATGTTTCTAATTTTCTTGCAACGAGATGCATCCCAAATCTGACAAATGAAGATTTAACTTTCGCATCAATGACAATCCTAGTAGGCTAGCCACCTCACAAGGCTAGACAATAAACTTCCTCCACAGGTTCCTTTAGCTCACAGTTCATCCCTGCAAGTTTCAACTCGATCTATTTGCAGCAGCTGAGCACCTCTTGTTAATGAGGCAACTGGTGCCTTATTACGCGATCTGAAAGCGGATGTTGCAATGTTTACAACATTGAACTGGTAGCCTGAATTAGTGGCTTAGCCCCTTTGCTAAACTATAGTAGAAAACTTATTGGATCTCAGTTTAACAATAAGCCTCGCTCCAGGTTATTTGTGTCAGAACACCACACTAGTAAGGACGTTGGATAATTTCCCACCCTCGTGATATCCATAAAGGAACGAATATGCTGAGGGTAGCAAGCTGTAAGCAAATCTAGAAGCCTTATTCAAATCCTTTGATCCACTAGCTATATGATAACATCTCACTACTCAGTGGTAACAGTTAAAAGGACATTAGAAGGACAAGATCATTGGTCAAATAGTTAAGATTACAGCTCTACGTCCTACTTAACTGACTTCGTTTCCCCAATGTAAGTTACAGTACAGCTTTAAGTAAAACAAAAGCAGAGGGATCAATAAAAAGGCAAGCTTTAATCATGACTAACCTGGACTTTCCCATTAAAAGTTCCAACAGCGAGATTGTTCGTGCCACGCTGTGCCCATCCTACTGAACAAACACTGTCATCAATTCCTAAATCACACAACTTTGTCACCTGCATTTCACCAATTGTCACCACTTAATTAAATCCCTGACCTGATTCAAATTGACAGTTTCATATTTAATTTCCCTGCAATAGACTACTCAAAAGTTCTTATCTTTACCTTACTGCTGCAAGCATTCCACAAATATACACAATTACCCAACCCAACCGCTAGCACATTATGCGACGACCAATCTACCAAGTTCAAATAAAAATCATCTTGCAATGCAGGCGCATCCAAAACCTGAAATTCCAACCAGACACATCATAAGCTAATGAAGGAAAAAACACCATTAGAGATGCCCAATTATATCAACCAAGCTTTGGGGCATTACCTTGTAAGGCGATCTAGGCACCTTTCTTGGAGCCTTGACAGGGCTCTGACTCACTCCAGGCCCTTCATCATCAAACCCATAAGGCGAAAACGACTGCATTGGCTGCCTCGTCTCAGTTCTATACCGGAAGATATTCCGCCCTCTGATTTCCCTCTTATCTGGCGTATTGGTGCCGAAGAGCGCATCCCGGAGAAGAGCGGCGTAAGCGCTGGGGGTTTCTTCCTTGCCGCCGTCACTCCCCACTGAAGTAGAGATATTCGACACAGCGGACGGCGACGAAGACGGCGACGGGGTAGAAGGGATGTGGAAAAGCTCGAAGTTGGAACCGGATCTGCTAGGAATGAATCTGTCGAAACAGATAGTCTTGGAAGGGGAGACGTAATGCTTGGAGTTAATGAGGCGCTTGACGTGCTCCGACGACGAAGCCGAGAACGAAGGAGTCGGAGCTAGGGTTTCAAGATTCAGGGACGGGCGTGGCATCGTGGAAGGGACATTGAGCTGCGAAGATGAGGACGGCGGCGGCGGCGGCGGAGAGGGCAATTGGTGGTTGGTAAACGGCGAAAGATTCGAATCGCCCATAACAGATTTGCTCCCGATGGCACCGGCGAGCAATAATTAGTGACTAGTGAGGCGTTGGAGCGAGATTGAGAGTGTAATGGCGAAACAGGAAGAAAGAGGCAGAGTTGGGAAAAGGAGGAAAAGCAGAGCAATGGCCAATGAGGGAGATGGAGAGTTAGTTAGGGTTAGGCTAGGATGTGTGCAGGTTCAGGGTAAATGTGTTGTTGACCGGTAGTTAACTTTCCCGGGAAAAAATTTCCGCGAACCAAAAGGGTTCGGATTCCTTACGGGACGAGGAGTGTGGTTTTACTCACTATTAGGTTGGGCTTTTGTTTCATCCGTTGGGCAGCCCATGAAAATAAAGCCCATATAGCAATCCAACCCCTGAATTCTATTTTTCAGGAGAAAAGAATACATACTATACTAGAGACCAAATACTGGAGAATGCTCATTGGCTTCCTGTTCACCCAAGAATTACAAAAGAATATGATCACAAATAGATAGAATGATCCGACCAAAAAACAAACAGAAAAGAATTCACAGTTTTCTTTCTTTCTTCCTTCCTTTCCCATCTTATTCAATCTCTGGAGGAAGGATTGTTACGAGGGACGAAATCATGCTCTAGGCTGGGAAGAGTTCTAGTACTACCAGCCACAGGAGTTCTAACATTCCCAACCACAGCAAACTGCAGATCTTCACCTTCATAACCCCTTCTCTCCATCTCCGCAATCCTCCTCTTCTTCTTAACCATCATACCAATGACCACCAGAACAGCCAACATCGCAACCAAACTCGCAGCCCCCACGGTGAACCCTACTACCATTTTCCGCTTGGGTGATTTGCCTTTGCCTTTGCCTCCACCTTCACCTCCTCCTGCTACTGGAGCAGGAGCTGGTGGCACCATTGGAGGCAGCTTCACCACCAACCCATAATGGCCGTCCACTGTTGACTCACAGACTCGAGGAGAAACAGGCTGTGTCAAGCTCACCGTCCCACTCCTCTCAAATATGGCACAAGAAGAATTGTTGTGATCATTTGTAGTGTTGCTGAAACTGATAGTGATGAGAGGGTTTCCTTGACCAGAACGGATTCCAACCTCTAGAGGGTAGCTGGAATTGGGGTTGTAGCTGCTGCTGGGGTTGTAATTATAGACAGTAAGGCCTAAAATTGGGGACACCAATTGGTAGCCAGAGAGGTCATAGTTTGATGAGTAGAGAGATGACCAATTGAGACCCAAGTTCTGTGTGATCACCATCACTCTCAGAAAGCATGGCTGGACCTTTATGCCGCGCTGTAGTCTGACTCCATCGAACCGGGCGCCATACCGCCTCAGGCTGCCACACCGGAACCTCGCTGCATTCGCCGTGATCACACCACCATCAGAGAGGTTAGCCGGGATGTCTACATTGTAAATTTCCCCTGTTTTGATCCTTCTCCGGCTGCCAAAGGACTTGAACGTGTAGTCCCTAACGAGAAGATCCAGTTCCTCTGGTGATGTGACCATCTCCTGTGCTCTTGCTGATGTTGGTAGTAATGATAATGATAGGAGAATTACGATGAAGGCGAAGAAGTAAGAATCCGCCATTTTTACCCCTTCAAAATGTGCTGCGATTTCACCACAGCCGACCCAATTCTGCGAAAGTGCAGATACAGCATAATTGGTTATCAATGTGATGATTGCAAAAGGGATGAAGGGTTCTTTTTGTTTCTCTTTAAAGCTTTCAGCTTTATGAGTTGGAATCTGATTTTCAACTAGGAGAAAAGCACAATCAGAAGAGAAGAAGAAAAGAAAGAAACGTTTCGTACCGTTGAACCATTCTAGCCTTCTCCGACCCATTTCTCTTTAGCCCTGAAAAAATCCTCCTCGGCTTTAGTTCTGGGAAATTGGAGTTAGAAACGAATTGTTGCTTTTTCTGGGAAACTGACTCACCGAGTGGCAACCGTGTCAAATGCAGCAGTAGCCCTGAGTTGAACGCCGTTTTCCGCCGAGTCCCACCGCCGACAATCCCCCCAAAACCCCGAGCTCAGATCTGTCTCCACTGCTCACGGCTCGTCCAACCAATGTCTTCGCCGCCGCCTCCTTCCGGTTTTCTCGCTCTACTATCCTGCGAGCTGCCGCCGCTCTCCGATCTTACTTTGCTCCAGCCCCTCGTCGCGACGGCAGCCAAGGGAACTCCTGCCTGCCTCTGTTGGCCTTTTTTCGTCGTCTTCTTCTTCTTCCTTTGTTGACGACGAACAACATAAAGGAAAACCCCCTCTCTGCCGCAAAAGCGTAATTCCGTTCGAGGAAGGTCAATTTTTAGGCTCACTTTTCACATCCGAAGTTGCCTTGGATGGATTGTTTGTTTGATTCTTCTTTCTATTTTTTCCTCTCCACAAATCCGCCACTGCCTTTATCGTCTCTTGTTGTTGCAGTGGGGACGAATTTCCTTGGTTTCATACTCCGGCTAAGTCGCAAAATTAATGGAAAATATCTCTTCACTCTATCTTCCAAAACCAAAAACAAAAACAAAAAAAAAAAAAGTAAAGCCTTGTTTGGCAGCTACTAATACTATCATGTAAAATACATATAACAAAAACTCAAATATAATTCATTAGTAAAAAGTAAAAACACGTATATATTTTGTAAATATGGCAATAAGAATGTATGTAATATCATACTGTACTAAGATAAATTTTACAATGCTATATAGTATTGGTGCTATAGGTTTTTGCCTTTATGGTACAACTTAAAATTGTACATTTACGTTATGGTACAACTTCAGATTGTACCTATACTTTTTGTGCAAATTCTTGGGTAAATACAATTTAATATCCAAACCTTTCATTTTAAACAATATAATAGCCAAACATTTTCGAAAACAATCTAATATCCAAATCGTCAACTTTCCGTCCGTTTGACCGTTAGTTGGCACTTCAAAAAAGTTCGAAGTACGATATTTCATCAATATCCATCGATATCTTCTCTGAAAAAGCACCAACATATCGTGGTTCCAAACCCGAGAAGTCCATGAGTCCACCATGATGATATAGAATATCTTAATATTCAGTCATCTGCAATGCCAAAACAAGAAAACAAAGTTGTATTGTGACAATTTCCCCTAAACAAAGCTTTTTTGAAGTGTCAACTAACGATCAAACGGACGGAAAGTTGACGATTTGGATATTAAATTGTTTTCGAAAAGATTTGGCTATTATATTGTTTCAAATGAAAGGTTTGGATATTAAATTGTATTTACCCCAAATTCTTTTACGGTACAACTTGAACTTGTACCTTTATGTGATGGTACAACTTCAAGTTGTAAAGTTGTACCATAACATAATGGTACAAATTGCTTTATGGTACAACCTAAACTTATACATTTAATGTTATGGTACAATTTTGAGTTGTACATTAAAGCACCAATGCTATATAACATAGTAGAAGTGCTCACTGTAATAAATGTAGTGTTTGGTTTCGATAGAATCGCCATTGGTAAATTTTTAAATGTTTGCATAAGATTTGGGTTACAAACCTCGTTTTGCAAAATTTTACTTGCCGAGGTTTTGTACCCTATGCCAATATTGTGTACCCTATCTTAATATTACGATTTTGAATAACTTTATTTTGACATTATAACAAAATATTTTAAATGGATGAATCGCTTTTTAATCAAAATTAATTGAAAATACCTGCCAAATGGGGTGGTTTTAAAACAAACTTCTAAATTGTTCTGCCGACTCCATCACAATTATGCTAAGATAATATAGAATTTGTATAGTGGAAAGACAATGTGTTTGAGTCATGGTTCATGAAACCGTACTAGAAAAATCAGCAATAGGATATTTTATAGCAAAATCGTAGTTTAACGGTAATCCAACCATTAGTATCGTTAAATACTGTCTACCAATTTAATCTCGAATACTAATATTTTGAGTTCTAGAGCGTGACTGCCGCTTGTTCTCATTCGAATCTTGGCCCCATTGATTGAAGCTGCTGAATAAATAAACAGTGAAAATGTCGGCTTCCTTGTTAGGTACAACAGTGGGGGAACCGGGGAAGCTCCAGCTTGGCGAGCGAGAGTGACTGCCACTTGTGTTCATTCTAGGAACGGGAAGGACAAGCTTAATAATTTAGGTCCCCCATTGTAAAATGGAAACCTTTCTTCTCATGATTTCAATCCAACCGGTTAGCTTATAAACCTTGTTACTATTTTAATCATGAGTTGTAACATAGAATTGTTTTTAGAATGGTAGTCATTGCTTTTTAGTCGTAGGATTATTGATCTTAACACGGTGATAGTTGTAATCATTATATTTTGTAGTTGTAAAACTAAAAGTCCAACACGATCTACTACAACACATCAACAACATTTTTAAGGTCTAGCACTCGATACTCGTGGTGCCTCCGGAAACACAAAGTGGTGTAGCGGGTTTCGAATCTAAGACCTCACACATCTTAAATTCGAAGGACCACGCTCCCGACCAACTCGACTGGGTTACTTTTGGCGATACCATGACAACTATTAGCAAAAAGGGAATTGAAAATATTGCCCACATTATTTTAATGAAGCTTTTGGTTCATGAAGCTTATAAATACATTAATTATGATTTATGAGTTGTATTAGTATAATTGTACAAATGGTAGTTGTGGTAATTATATGGACAATTATAGCCGTTGTTTCTTTTTAGTCGTAGGAGTACAACTTCCGCACAATTATAGTTTTAGTTATTAAATTTTGCAGTTGTAAAATTAAAACTCCAGCACAAATTACTATGACTCGTCGCACGCGATGGGCGGAGCTATCCTACATAAAATGTAGGTGTTGCAGTCATTATTTCTGCAACAACATTTCATTTTGTGCATAAAAGATATGATAGGGCTGTCCATTCCATGCCAAAAAGGCCCTTGTTGAATTGATATGTACACTTGTCGACCAACGATTTTGTTGAGTTCTTTTTTTTTTTTTTTGTGATCTTACTTGTAAAATTTTCGTATATTTCTTATTTATATGGTTCCCGCCAAAATAGGTATTAAAAAACTCTTATCACACTAGCAGTTTCCCTTTATGTGTGTTAGTCTCTCTCGCCACTAGACAATCGTTATTTGCAGTCGTTGCTCTCTCATTAATGCAAGTCGATTAAAATGAAGCATTTTTTTCCATAGATATTCCGGAAAGGACTAAGCTAGATATGAATAATACATAACAGTTTCAGGTCGAAGTCAAAATGAAAGGAGATAAAGATGTTGGTCAACGAGTCGCTGAACCAATGATAAAAGAGCATGTTTTGCCACGATATGGGCAGCCCTATTGTACCCACGCGGAGCGAAATGAAACGAAACATGTCGGAGATATGTTGGCATCACCTGAACCTCTTTCAAAATGACACCTCCCAATACGTGTGTCGAATCCTTCGCGTTGACCATACGGATGAGTACGTATGAATCACCATAAAAGAAGACATTGAAATAGAGTGATTAATACACCAAAGCATGGCATCTCGTAGAGCTATTAATTCAAACAGAAACGGGTTAGAGACTTCCGCGTAAAATCACCCATAGGCAAAGCTAATTTCTATATTGTGAGTGAACCCAACAAAGCCAATCGCACCGGCGACAGATTTCTTTTGTAGCTCCATCAAAATGGACCAGAAAATCATCCGCGAATATGTCCGGCGAGATAGAGGATCAACTATTGTTAACAGTTGTACCATGTCGTTGCCGTCGAGAAGAGTGCGATGATGCCTCCTGAGCAGTATCCCATTCCAACACCTGATTATCGAACTGTCTCAGTTGGGCATGCGGCATGAAAAGGACATGCTCACAACGGCGGATCCAGAACACAGAAGAGCATTGGGCCGCATTTCATTAGAAAATTAGAACCGTAAAAAAAATATAATGATTATAGTTTTTTGCAATGTAAACTGTACACTACTGTATTTTAATTTAGGGAATGCATCAAGCAGGGGCGGAGCTACACATAGGCTCGAGGGGGCCCTGCCCCCCCCCCCCCCCCCCCAGAATTTCAGAACTTACGTATAAACTATATCGGTATTTGAAAATTTCGTATAAACTGATGGGTTATAAAATAGTTTGCTGTGCATTGTTGTAACACGAAAGTAAACTAGCCCAGTGGTTGGAATCCTTCTATCCAATCCATCAGATTATGGGTTCGAACTCATAGGGAGCATATTTTAATTTTAGTTTTAATCTCACATTAACTTTTATCCTATGGATTCTCAATTCTGTAATTTCAATATGGTTTCTTAACCCTTTTATTTTCAATATTAAGTTTTATATGGATTCAAATTGATGCTTTGATAATATTAAAATTTATTTGGATTATTGTTTTTGCTTAATTTTATTGTCTTTTCACAGTAACGAAATAAATCCCCCTTCGGAACGTCAAATTTTGTCTTCGTCTCTAACTCAAAGATGAAATCTATATCTATCTATCTATCTATCTATCTATCTATCTTCTATCTATCTATACTAAATATTATGGCTATTCAAAAATAACTTTTTGTCACATAAGCACTTGGTGAATGCACAAGTTGCCAAGGTGGACAATCTTTTTTCAAACAAAAAACTATTTATTGATCTATTTATGAAGTTGTCTCTCTCTTATTTTAATAATTCTACTCATTTTTACTAAGTACTAAATATTATGGCTATTCAAAAATAACTTCTTGCCACATAAGCACTTGGTGAATGCACAAGTTGCCAAGGTGGACAATCTTTTTTCAAACAAAAAACTATTTATTGATCTATTTATGAAGTTGTCTCTCTTACTTTAATAATTCTACTCATTTTTACTAAAATTAAAATAAGTTAATTTTTTAGGAAACATTTAAACAAAAAACACACAGCTAAGTAATAAAAAAAATCGATTAAACAAACTATAAAGATGGAAACAGAGAGTGACATATATTGTATTTGTTTAACCTAAGCTAATTAAATCTGATTAAGTAAATTTTCTACTATTTTTACTAAAACTTAATAATAAGTTACATTTTTATGAAGAAAAAAAAACAAGCACACACATAAACATTAATATAATTCAATACAAAATATAAACGATGGTCTAAGAGAAAATAAACGTTTGATAATCAATCGATTTTGAGAAATGAATGATATGACTATATATTTTTTGCTATCAAACACTCACTTCTTTCTTATGTATATACCTATCAAATAAAACAAGTATAAATTATATGTAAACATAAATCATAATAGCATGGATCTTAGAATTAGATGATTTCACGAATCGATAATAGATCGGGAAACCTACCTCGATCCATGACGAGAGCGGCGGTGGCGCTGGAGTAGTAATCACCGGAATTGAGTTTCTCCCTCTTGACCCCTTTAGGTTTTAGGTTTAGGGATTTCTGTGATGGTTAAGAAATTCTACGTAATGGGTTGAGAGAGGACCAATC